CCAGCCTTCTCATTAGCAGCCAAATGCCTTAGGCACTATGCCACTAGAGCTCCCTACTTATAAAGAAAAATGTACCTACAAAAAAGGTAAAATAAACTTAGGTGCTGATCATCCCTCTGCCTCTGACTGGACTCCTGGGGGCCTCCTCTTTAAACTCGCATCATGTGACACCACCCCAACCACATACCTGTGCTTCATCAGGGACCACCAATGCAAATACAAGCCGGCAGCCTCACTGGCTAGCTCAAATCAGTGGGCACAGTTGTTTGCTGTTTCTTGGGTTCCTTGTACATCTTTTGGATCACAGGTTGAACACCCTTTCTTTCTATTCACCTTCTACAGATTTCTATTCCAGGGAGGGTTACCTGTAGGCTACCTTGGGCTATACAGAGATTTTCCTTAATTCCCATACCACCCTGTAAACTTCCTCTGTTATCACTAATTATAATTACTTCCCCCACCTCCATTCCCTTCCCACTAACTGTCATAGTAGATAAACAGCTTAATTTATTTCAGGGTTCATTTGGTATTTCTGTATATGTAATTTAATTTCTTTGAAAGTATGACTTGATTATCAGTAATACCTAAAGTTTTTATTTAAATACATTAATAAATGAATCAAATATCTTTTCTTAAGTTATTTGTTCAAGTTAGAAGTGGTATAATGACCTTCCATAGCACTGATAGTTCTCTTGTGTTTCTTCCATACCACTCATTTCAAGAATTTGCTCATTAAATATTGAACAAAAATAAAATTTGTGATGGCCCATATGGTTTAAGGATGTAGAACATTAGTAATAATATGAGCAAAAAAGTGATAAAATCTAGAAAGAAAAACTCCTTTTGGTACCAAAAGTGGTGGCCCATCTGGTCTTTGGAGGGTAGCCCCTGGTCTGCTGCCCAGGGGTGATGGGTGATGGTGTTGCGTGGGAGGCATAGTAGTGTTCATGATCCTGTGTGATGGACCCCACAGAAGGGATGATCCCATCATTCTCTTGATTCCCCTCAATGACCCCAGCATTGCCCACCATTAGACATCCCATCACATCATCGTGGTAGCAGCCAGATTCAAGCAAGACAGAGACAGCAAACTGGTCAGCCAGGCACCTGGGGAAAGTCCATCTGGACCTGGCAGCAGGTGTGTTGAGGAGTTAGTGAAGCAGTAATCCTCCTTGGCCACCCAGAGGATAGGAACCCTGCGCTTTAGTCCAGAGTCCTAGTGGTGCATTGGGCAAGCACTAGGCCACTAACCAAAAGGTCAGTGGTTCGGACCCAGCAGCTTCTCTGTGGGAGAAAGATGTGGCAGTCTGCTTCTGTAAAGATCTCAGCCTTGGAAACCCTGCCAGGAAGCTCTGCTCTGTCCTGTAGGGTTGCTGTGAGTCAGAATTGACTCCATGGTGATGGATTAATTTCAATCCTAGATCTGAAGAAATCGCAGATGCAAAGACTGAACATCTGGGCAATCAGTATACAAAAAGCAGCCCCCAGCACTTTCCAGAACGGGACAAAAAGAGCCAAGAATCACAGAACAGAGTCGACATGAGATGAGGAATCGGCATTGGCCAGAGCGGGCTTTTGACGACAGTTTTCACCAGTCATGGGGCAGGGGGTGAGGATGAGGCAGAAATTAGAAGTTGATTACAGACATTGAAGGAATGTTTCCATCATATTCTAACCAATCCCTTTTTCAGTCTTTATAACATAGGAGTTAAGGACCCCCTCCTTCATCAATACAGACCCCATATGGACCTGGTGGATCTCATCTGACTCGTACAGTCAGACTCCAGCCCCCAGAGTGGGGGACTGAGTCCGCTGCACTCCTGGAGGAGGGTCTCGCCAGGCAGCTCCCCTGAGTGCCCTCCACAGGGCACTGTTTTATCCTGATGCTCCTGCTCCAGTGAACCTCCCTTTACTCCCAAAACTGCCCCTGTCCGGTGGCCTGACCTAAGTTCCTACAAATTCCTGGTTGCCTCCTTCCCATTGCCCTTTTCTATGACACTCTCCCTATACATATTCACTCTTTCTTCCGTGAGGATTTCAGTGTCTGACATTCTGTCATTTCCTCCAGCTCATGGTATGTCTTTTTCTGTATCTTTCCCTACACATATTTTCCAATTTTTGTTTCATATTTCTTTCTTTCTTTCCCCTAAACTATCAAGGTAATGGTACAAGGTTACAAATGCAGACTGTCACAAAGGCCAAAAGGTAAAAACAACCCAAATGTCCACTGACTGATGAATGGATAGATAAAGTTCAATATATCCATACAATAGAATATTATTCAGCCATGAAAAAGAATAGGAGCTCTGGTGGCGTAGTGCCTAAGATAGTTGACTGCTAACCAGAAAGCTGGTGGTTTAAACCCACCAGCCACTCCTCAGAAGGAAGACTGGGCAATCTACTTCTGTAGTGATATTGCCTTGGAAACCCAAGGAGGAGTCGCTATGAGTCGGATCTGACTTCACGGCAGTGAGTTTTTTTTTTTTGTTTTATGAAAGAGAATGAAGTCTTGATATATGGTACAACATGGATGTTCCTCGAAAACATCATGCTAAGTGAAAGAATCAGACACATAAAGTCACATATCTTATGTTTCCATTTATATGAACTATCCAAACTAGGTAAAAGGAGCTTTGTGGTGCAGTGTCTAAAGCATTTGACTGCTAACCAGAAGGTTGGTGGTTCAAACCCACCAGCCACTCCTCAGAAGGAAGATAAGGTGATCTACTTCCATAAAGATTTACTACCTTGGAAACCCACTGGGGGTCATTGAGTCAGATTCGACTCAGTAGCAGTGGGTTTGGTTTTTAGTCATCTAAACAAGGGAAATCAATAGACATTTCCCAGAAAGATTAGTAGGTGCCAGTGGTAGGTGAGGTATTTGGATGGGAAGTGACTGCTCAATGGGCACAGCATTTCCTTTTGGGGGATGAAAATCTTTTGAGATTAAATAGAGGTGATGGTCATATGGCATTGTCAGTGTATTAAATACCACTGAAGTGAACACTTAAAATGGTATGTGAACATTACCTCAATTAAAAAATGCATAATGAAGCAGGCTCTGGGTTCAGAATGCCTGGATTAGTCCTTGCTCACTTAACCTTAGGCCAACTACATACATACATAGGCACTCTAGAATTCTGTTTCCTTATCTGCAAAATGAGCACATAAGTAATATTAACCCCAAAGGGCAACTGTGAGCACCAAACTCACAACCACCACCAGTAAATGTTTAATAAAAGTGAGCTGTTGTGGCACGGCTTGAATTGTGTCCCTTTCCCCCTTTCCCCGCTGTGCTGCACGGGGCATTGCTGGCCTGTCCCTAGCCTGCCGCCCTGGGGATCATGGGTAACAGTGTTACATGGGGGAGGGGGGAATATCACCCTCCCTCCCCTCCATCTTCCTGTTTCTCAAAGAGCCCGCAGCCTCCTCACAGGCCTCTGCCACTTCCTCTGGTCTGTCCACATCTTCGCCCCCCCCAGGTCTTTCAACATCCCCACATTTCAATTAGTCCCACCTTCTGCCATCACCCAGGGTCTTCTCTTCGATGTAGACTATAAACCACAGTTTTAGTCCTTTGTGGTTTCCTACTGAATGGAACTTAGTAATTCACGCTTACCTCCATTAAATACACCCATTGTAGTGGTTCCAGCAGTGCTGAGGTCTTTCTTGCAGGTTCTTACTCCCTCCTCCAGGTTATGGGCAGAAAGCCTCTCTTTGCTGCCTCTAGATAATGCTCTTGGGCTCCCTGTGGAGGTGGGTCATTTTGGAATTGATACAAAGTGACACTCATCCATGTTCCCCAGGCTCTTATGGCATCCCCTCCCCAGCCTCACAGCCTCCTTCAAGTGCAGCTTCCTTGTGTCTTTCCCTGCTGCTGCTGTTGTTGCTATGTGCCGTCGAGTCAGACCCGACTCATAGCGACCCCTCCTTGGGTTTCCAAGGCAGTATCACTAGGGAAGTAGGATTGCCCCATCTTCCTTCCGAGGAGTGGCTGGTGGGTTTGAACCTCCAGCCTTCTGGTTAGCAATCAAGTGCTTTAGGCACTGTGCTACCAGAGCTCCCATGCACTGCTAGTAAATCAGAAAACAAAATTTTTATCCAGTCATAATTACCTTGTTGATATCTTGGTTGACTGCTGGGTGTTTTTTGTGTCTCTTCTCTACTTTTTGGGGAAAAAATGTTTGTCCTCAAGCCCTTAACAGAAGAAAACAAATTGATTAGATGTTGCAGGCAGAAACAAGGAACATCACCTTATAGTTACACATCTAGGAGCATGTGTGCCTTCAGGTACTTCAATGGGAAACTTCTAGACCTCGGGTCACTTGGAACCCAAGTGGCTCTTGCTTGATGTTCCTTTATCCCTACCCTTAGGAAAGGGAAGAGAAAAGTAAAACTGAAATCCTGTTAGTGACGAGCCTTGCAAGGTTTAAGTATGATGGGGCAGCAGAAAGGTTGTAAGCAATAGTTAATCACCCAAGAAGATGACCAGAGAGGAGAAGAAGCTACTTCAGTGTAAAATAATGTAAGTGGGACGTTGCTGTGAGCTCACAAACTTTAGGGGAGAAACAAGAGGAATTTCCTCAGGGCAAGGGGTCAATCAGACCATGGAGAAATCAGTCTTTTTTTTTTTTCTAACAGAGAAAACCCCAACAGCATTAAAAGATGAGTTGGGCTGCACAGCCAATTATTTTAATTGCTCTCAATAAATTGTACACCTATAAAAAATTGAATTGGGGAAAATTTGTGTGATAGATTTACTTAAAACAATGGCCAAAAAAAAAAAAAAAAAGACTAAATGCTGAGGCTCTTACGTACAATCAAACACCTCATGAGATTTCCTTCCTTGATTTGGAGGTTTATGGTCATGGCTTCATGGGACATCCCAGGTAATTGGCCTAATAACATGTTCTGTGCATCTGTTCTACCTCCTGGCTAACTGCATAGTGCCTGGGCTCTTAAAAGCTTGCAAGCACCATGTAAGTCACTGTAATTGGTCTCTATTTGCCTGGGACAACAGAGAAAAAAGGAAAGTTAGGAATAGGAGGGTGTGGAATGTGTGGCTAAGTACCTCCATGAACAACTGCCTCCTTTGCCCTGAGACCAGAAGAACTGGATGGTGCCCGGCTAGCAGTACTGAACGTTCTGATCAAAGACTCTGATCAAAAAGGGGAAAATGAAGAACAAACTTTCAAATTCTCATAGACTCCAGACTTTCTGGAGCCAAGGGGGCTGAATGAATCCCTGAAACAATTGCTCTGAGACAATCTTTACAATTTAAACCAAAAATATCCCCTGAAATCGTCTTAAAACCAAAGTGTACTTTAGCTTAACTACTGAAAAAGGTCTGCCCTGAGCGTTATGCCCTTTTAAGAACTATTTATATGGGATCAGAGTGACAACAGCAACTCAGAATATAGATAGGCACCTAAGGGGGCAGGGAGTTTGTGTTAATGGGGGGGAGGACCACTCAGAAAAAGACAGTGAGAAAGATTGTACCACTCAAAGCACGGAATCAGTGTCACCAAATCGTATGGGTACAAAATGTAGAATTGGGGTACATTTTGCTGTGTACATTCTTACCAACAACTAAATTAATTTAAAATTGATTTTAAAGACCTTGTTTTTGGCAAATAAATCAGACACAAAACAACAAGTAATTATATGACCCCACTGATATAAAATATCTAAGCAAATGCATAGAGACCAGAGTATATTAGTGGTTACCAAGGGCTGCAGAGAGGAGAGGATAGGGCTGTTATTGGAGGGGGGTGGAGGGAGGAAGGAAAAAAAGAGAAAAAGAAGTGGTGTTACTTCCTGTAACTGAAAAAATTCAAGTTCCTCAGTTTCGGAAGTCAGAACCTTTACCTTCTGCCACTAACATCCTCTGCAGAACCGGCCTCCAAGCCCTCCCCACTCTCTGCTTCCTCTCGGTCTTCTTCAAATAAGTGGATCCCTTTGTACTCTCCAGCCCTACTCCTGGGCTAGGCTGTTTTTGCTTCTCTGATTTCTCCATAATTGTTTGAGGAGCTAACTTTTCACCAGATTGTGTTAGATAAAGTTTTCTGTGGAAATTAATGTCAACCTGGTCCCCTTAGAAAAATATCACAATCTAGCCAAAATGGTCTCCTCTTCATTGCACACCTGTGTAAACAAATAAATCCATACTCATCGGGGAGAGGGGAAAGTCGTAATTAAACCCAAATGAGGGCCTAGCAGAGTAATCATTTGATAGATAATTTGAACCATGAGATCAGAAGCCATGTCACTTTTCTCACCATTGTATTCACACTAAGGAGCCCTGGTGGCACAATGGTTAAGCACTAGGTTGCTAACTGAAAGGTTGGTGGTTCAAACCCAACTGATAGCTCTGCAGGTAAAAACCTGGCAATACGCTTCCACGAAGATTAAGGCTAGGAAAACCCTACGGGACGGTTCCACTCTGTCACTTGGGGTTGCTACGAGCTGGAATTGACTTGATGGCACCCAACAACAATACTCACACTGCCTGGCCCAGGGCCTGGGACATAGGTCCACTATGGGTGGCCCTGTTGGTATTTGGAGTATCAATGGTGTAGCCTCCAGCTTCATAGCAACATGCAAGCCATCACAGTGCAACAAACTGACAGATGATTGGTGAGGGCATGGTAAACACCCCATAGTCACTTTATGAATGAGTGAGTGAATGAATGAGAAACAGACTAAAGGGAGGTGAGGGAGTTGATTACCATTTTCGAAGCTTCTATAAATCTGAGTTAAATCAGGGTACTCCTTCAGGTGAACCCTACCGAACAGGGCTTCTGGAAGTGACCCGTCACATGTTTCCTCCAGGCGACAGAGAATGCATGCACCCCTTCACCACTTCCGCTACAGGAACACAGCTTCTATAGGCATCCTGAGAATCCTTTTGAAAAGTTCAAAATGGAAAAATTCTTTAAAATAATGGTTTCACAGTTAGACAGATCTAGCAAGCGATTTCATAGGATACTCGTGTTATTTCTCCCCACGTCGATAGACTACTATTATCCAAGTAATATTCCAGAACTTCTTGAATATTTGATCAACTGCTTAAAAGAATAAGTAAACCTTTCTGTTATGGATCAAATTGTGTTCCCAAAAAGATATGTTCATGTCTTAACCCCTGGTACTGGTGAACATGACCTTGTTTGGAAACAGGATCTTTGAAGATGTTATCAGCTACCATGAAGCCCTAGTGGAGTGGGGTGAGGCCTAATCCTATCTGAATGAGGTCCTTATAAAAGAGGAGAGGAGACACGCAGAGGAAAGATGGCCATGGGAAGATGCAGCCCCATACCAAGGAACACCTGGGGCTACCAGAGTTGGGAAAGACAAGAAAGGATCTTCCCCTATCGACTTTGGAGGAAGCATGGCCTGGCCAGCATGACTGGTACATTAAATGTTGGATCCAGGATCCCAAAGTATAAAGGAACGTGGGGCTGTGCCACCGTGGAGTGATATAATAAACTGCACTTACATTATAGAGCTTCTCAGTAATGAAGGAGTGGTCTCTGAGGACCTCAGGGAAAGGAAATAGCTTTGTTACTGCCATTGCTATCCTCACTTTATTTTTCTTGAAGTGATCTAAAAAGTTCTCATGGAAAACCTTCCTCTCGCTGGCCACTGGCAACATCCTAAGGGGGAAAAAAAATACAGTAAGAAAATAGATATCAAGAATTTACGATGCCCTTCTCACCAAAAAGAAAAAGCAAGTAAGTGAGTGAGAGGAAGAGGAAGAAAGAAGGGAGGGAGGGAAGGTAGTTCACTTGTGAAAATCATACATTTAAGGAAGGTAACCACAACCTTGCTTGCTGAAATCAAAGATGATTTGAAGCACTTACTGAAGAAGATCAAAGGATACACCCTCCAGTATGGATTACATCTCAACATAAACAAAACAAAAATCCTCATAACTGGACTGATAAGCCGCATCACGATAAATGGAGTAAAGACTGAAGTTGTCAAGGATTTTGTTTTATTTGGATCCACATTCAATGCCTATGGAAGCAGCAGTAAGGAGATCAAACAGCATATTGCATTGGGCAAATCTGCTGGAGAAGATCTCTTTAAAATGTTAAAAAGCAAAGCTGTCTGAGGACTAAGGTGCACCTGACCCAAGCCATGGCATTTTCAATTGTCTCATTGAAACTGAGAAAGCTGGACCATGAATAAGGAAGCCCAAAAGAATTGATGCATATGAATTATGGTGTTAGTGAAAAATATTGAATATCCCATGGACTACCAAAAGACAGTTAGTTGACCAACTGACTGGACGAGATCGATACTTGTGCCCATTCCAAAGAAAGATGATCCCAAAGAATGTGGAAATTATTGAACAATATCATTAGTCTCACACTAATGTGCAATTTTACTAAAGATAAATAAAAAATGGTTGTAGCATTATGTTGACAGCGAACTTCCAGAAATTCAAGCTGCGTTCATAAGAGGACATGGAACATCATTGCTGATGTCAGATGGATCTTGGTTGAAAGCAAGTGATACCAGAAAGATGTTTACCTGTGTTTTACTGACTATGCAAAGGCATTAGACTGTGTGAATCATAAAAAACTATGGATAACATTGCAAAGAATGGGAATTCCAGAACACTTAATTGTACTCATGAAGAACTTGTACATATACCAGGAAGCTGTTGTTCCAAAAGAACAAGGGGATAATGAATGGTTTAAAATCAGGAAGGGAATGTGTCAGGGTTGTATCCTTTCACCATACTTGTTCAATCTGTATGCTGAACAAATAATCCAAGAAACTGGTCTATGTGAAGAAGAACGTGGCATCAGGATTAGAAGAAGACTTATTAACAACCTCAGATACGCAGACAACACAACTTTGCTTGCTGAAAGTGAACATGACCTGAAGCACTTACTGATGAAGATTTTAATCTTCATCTTTTAATCTTCACTGCAGACTCAGTCTGCAGTACGGATTACACCTCAATATAAAGAAAAAAAAATCCTCACAACTGGACCAATAAGCAGCATCACGATAAATGGAGAAAAGACTGAAGTTGTCAAACATTTCATATGACTTGGTTCTACAATCAACACCAATGGAAGAAACAGTCAAGACATCAGACAACGTATTGCACTGGACAAATCTGCTGCAAAAGACCTCTTTCAAGTGCTGACGAGCAAAGATGCCTCCTTGATGACTAAGGTGTCCCTAACCCAAGCCATGGTATTTTCAATTGCCTCCTATGCATGTAAGAGCTGTACAATGAATAAGGAAGACTGAAGAAGAGTCGGGAGCTTTGGTGGCATAGTGCCTAAGGCACATGACTGCTAACCAGAAGGCTGGCGGTTCAAACCCACCAGCCACTCCTCGGAAGGAAGATGGGGCAATGTACTTCCGTAGTGATACTGCCTCGGAAACCCACGGAGGGGTCATTATGAATCAGGTCTGATTTGACAACAATGAAGAAAAGTTGATGCTTTTGAGTTGTGGTGTTGACGAAGAATGCTGAAAGTACCATGGACTGCCAGAAGAAGTAACAGATCTGCCCTGGAAGAAGTGCAGCCTGAATGCTCCTTGGAAGCGAGAATGGCCAGACTTCGTCTCACCTACTTTGGTCCTGTTGTCAGAAAGGACAATTCTCTGGAGAAGGTTGTCATGATTGGTAAAGTGGAGGATTGATGAAAAAGGGGAAGGCCCTCAACAAGGTGGATTGACACAGCAGCTACAACGATGGGCTCAGGTATAGCAAAGATGGTGAGGCTGGCACAGGGCCAGGCAGTGTTTCGTTCTGTTGTCCATAAGGTCACTATGAGTCAGAGACGACTCGATGGCACCTGACAACACAGTTTAAAATCAGGAAGGGTGTGTGTCAGGGTTGTATCCTTTCACCATACTTATTTAATCAGTATGCTGAGCAAACAATGAGAGAAGGTTGACTATATGAAGAACACTGCATCAGGATTGGAGGAAGAGTCATTAACAATCTGTGACATGCAGATGACACAACCCTGCTTGCTGAAAGTGAAGATGATTGAAACAACTGCTGATGAAGATCAAAGACGACAGTCTTCAGTATGGTTTACACTTCAACTTAAAGAAAACGAAAATCCTCACAACTAAACCAATAAGCAACATCAGCCTAAACGTGATTTTACTTGGATCCACAATCAACACCCATGGAAGCAGCAGTTGAGAAATATGACGTCTTATTGCACTGGGCCAATCTGCAAGGGACCTCTTTAAAGTGTTGAAGAGCAAAGATGTCACTTTGAAGACTAAGGTATGCCTAACCCATGATGTTTTTAATCACCTCATCTGCATGTGAAACCTGGACAATGAATGTTGTTGTTGTTGCTATGTGCCTTTGTTGAGTCGGACCGACTCATAGCGACCCCTCCTTGGGTTTCCGAGGCAGTATCACTATGGAAGTAGATTGCCCCATCTTCCTTCTAAGGACTGGCAGGTGGGTTTGAAATGCCAGCCTTCTAGTTAACAGTAAAGTGCCTTAGGAACTACCCTACCAGAACTCCCAGGACAACGAATAAGGAAGACCAAAAAAGAGTTGATGCCTTTGAATTGTGGTGTTGGTGAAGAATACTGAAAATACCACGGACTTCCAGAATGAACAAATCTGTCCTGGACGAAGTGCAGCCAGAATGCTCCTTGGAAGCGAGAATGGCCAGACTTCGTCTCACCTACTTTGGTCATGTTGTCAGAAGGGACCATTCCCTGGAGAAGGATATCATGCTTGGTAAAGCGGAGGGTCAACGTAAAAGGGGAAGACCCCTGAAGTAGATGATTCTATTTTGTAATGACTTGTTAAAACTCCATTTTGCAGCAAAGTCCATTTCACAAGCCCTCCAGCATAACAGCATTTCTATTTCTCCGTATCCTTCTCAGAGAGCCCAGTAGCTATCTAAATCAACCATCCCTGAGAACCCACTCACCCCTTCCTTTCCCTGAGAGCTGTTGTTGTGCCCAGGTTATGAAGGAGTTGTGTGGCGCGAGGAATTTGCCAACACGCGATAATGCAAGTGCAAGATGGAAAGTTTATTAGCTAGTTCGGAACTAGGGTCCCTGCTCTCACCGACATAACGGGTTGAGCAAAAGACCTCATGCTCTTTCTCTATCACACATTTATAGAAAAAAATATAGGGTGGAGTAGATAATTGGTTTTTAGGACAGGGGTTTGGGAAGTTGGGGGGCGGGTTGGAATCCCCCGGCTTCAAAGGTGAGCAAGAGACTTTGTTGGAGCCATGCAGAACTCTCTGATATGTGCGAAATTTAGGGGGAGGGGGTGAGGCCAGGCAGAACTCTCTGATATGCACGAAATCCGAAATCCGGAGGGGGGAGGGAGGTGAGACCTGCCAGAGCTTGAGGCATGGGAAATCTCCACATTAAAGGCTTCTGGTTAGAGATCTACCTGGAGGCATTAGGACTTTCTGAAGGTAAAGAGGAAGAGGAACACACTCAATGTGCTTTATATGGTGTTTCTGTTAAGCAGCACCAGCAAACTGAGACCAGGGGTTATGAGGGTAGCAGTAGGAGAGGGTTTAGCACTTTGTGTAGGGTTATCAGGAACGTGGAGAGCATGTCTCAGGACCACGGAGATGGGAACAATGCCCAGTGCTTGAAAATAAGGCTAGTGCCCGGCTGGGATTTCAACGTTTCCAACCTGCCTTCTAAGAAATAAGGAGCTCTGGTGGTGCAGTACCTAATGCATTTGACTGTTGACCAGAAGGTTGGCTGTTCAAATCCACCAGCCACTCCACGGAAGAAAGACTGGGCAATCTATTTCCATAAAGATTTGTTATAGGACCAAACGCGGGTCCCTGCCAGGTGTGCAGTCAGGCCAAAACAGTTTACACACCGAGATTTACAGGAGAGAAAATTATTTATTGCGAAGTGGCAATGCAAGAAGTAGGGGAGTTCAGTACCAGATCTGGCTCCCGGAAATGCCATCAAATACAGTTTTTGTAGGTTTCAGGAAAGGGGGTTATGCATATTCACAAAAGGTTGAGGAATTTGGGGCATGAATGTGAAATGTGTGAGTCACACCAGCTTCCTGTCATCAGCTGGTAGGGGCTTGGGCAGAGGGGAGAGGGGCAGTTCCCTGCCCTATTGTGCATGTCTGTGGGCCAGAGTTAATTTACAAGTTGTTTTCTAAGATACTATCACCTGACTGCTATCCAGAGGGCTGGCGGTTCAAACCCACCAGCCACTCCTCGGAAGGAAGGTTGGGCAATCCTACTTCCGTAGTTATACTGCCTCGGAAACCCAAGGAGGGGTCGCTATGAGTCGGGCCGACTCTACGGCACATAACAACAACAACAACAACAATCACCTGAAGGAAAGGATGTTTTCCATTCAGTTCTTTAAGGGAACTGAATACTCATCTGCCTGGGGTGGGGAAATAGTTGGGGGTAATTTAGTTTACTTATCTATTCCCATCAGGGTACCAGGGTGGGGGAAATAAGTTTACTGCCTCGGAAACCCAATGGGGGTCACTATGAGTCAGAATGGACTCAATGGTAGTGAGTTTGGTTTGGTTTGGTTTTTCTAAGAAACAGGTAAGTGCTGGCCTGCCCCAGAGGTCAACGGTTCGCACCCATCAGCCACTCTGTGGGAGAAAAATGGAGCAGTCTGCTTCCCTAAGGATTT